TTCATATTATCTTTATTATGTTATTTTACTCTGTTTATATCAGCATTCCTCAGTCGCATGTGCAGTGTTGGGAAGTAACCATGAAGAATCCATGTATCGAAAATATGTATTCTGAACACTAATTTTGAATAACTATTCTGGCACAGTTACTTTTATAATTGAAGGTATTCTACAATTCATGGCTATTTTGATTGTGAACTGCACAGTATTAGTGAGTAAAAAAAAAGAAACTACAGCTCTTGCAGTCCATGCATGTGTGATTTCTTGTCTCTAGTTGGACATATATTAAGGCACAACAACAAAGATAAATTTGTTTGTAATTATATGTCAATTTTTTTTTTACACTATAATATAAAGCAACTCAGTGCAGGAGTATTGCAACTACTGAGAATACAGAACTCTGATTGGACCATGTATGAATATGTTACAAATTACATTTTAATGCAGGTATTCAATATTCTGTAAATACATTTATAAAATATTCTTCCCATCACTGCATATGTGATATCCTTGGATGCTTACTTGAGTTTTCCTCTTGTGTATAAAATGATGAGCTGATGAGAGCGCTTCCCTGTGTAATGACTATGTATCCTGGTGCTGATATAAGAACATGGTGTTTACTCTGGGCGTGTGACAGGGGACAGTCATTTGTCAACAGTGGTTATGTGGACTGCCCTGTGCCATGCATAAGTGTAACCAGTGCAGCCAATGAGGGGCCAGGGCAGAGGCTCAGAGAGACCACAGCACACTCAAGACATGTTTTGGAAACTCTCACCCCCCACTGGAAACAGGCAGCAGTATAATACACATGAACATTCAAGCATGTTTAATCAGCACTGGCACAGCAGTGCAGGCGACAAGGGGGTATTTGAAAGTAGAAGAGATTTTGTTCTGGGAAACTAAAACCAGTCCAGTCTTATAACACATTTTATTTAGTGCTAACATTTTATCCATGGTAAAGAATTCTGTTGCTTAAAGCTACCATTTGTAATAGGATTGGCTGACTGGGCTGTGTTGTATTCTCACATATTACCATTACACTACTGCCGTGTGACAGGGTGCCAGCTTTGGTCTGACAGAAGAAGACCAGAGAGCACAGGTTAGCCCAGCAAAGGTCAAGTGAGAGGAGGGGGGAGCAGGTTTAACATCTGACATCTACTGGTAAAAAAGACTTTGACGGTTTCACATCTGTTTCAGATTTGTCAGTTTTATCAAAAGAAATCAACAGTTTGGCTTCCAACAAGATAAACATCAAAGTTATCTCATTGAACTGTCCACTTGAATGATCAGTCCTGCCCATATGATTTGGACAGTGGCCTGTATTCTCAACTCAAAATGAGATCAGGAGTCAGACAACTTTGATATGAACAGGTCAGAATTTCTGAGTAATGGTCACACCATGTCTGTCTGACAGAGGTAATCACTGCCATAAAGCTTGTAAAAGTCATTCACATAGAAATGACTTTACAACATTTTGTGGATTTATAGTCCATGTAGGAAACTATTCTTGTTATATCTTATCCACACTTTCCCTCATATGTCAACACCATTAGGACTAATTTTTTCAGGCACAAGATTTTCTCTGAATTTGTGGTCTAAGAAGTAGTAATAGTATTCACTGCAATTCCCAAGTACTGATGAATGAAAAGAGTGAGGACACAATAGAAAGTCTAAGAAGAAACGAAAGACAAATAACAGAGCTGAAATAAATACTTCAGAAATATCCATATACTAGCTGGAGGAGTTGATGGTGCTGCTGCTGCGTAATGGTTAATGGTATGTGCTTACGAGTTTGAATGTCTTGAAATGTGATGCTTGTTTGTAAGATTTCAAACAATACATTTTACAGTGTCACTGCTATTTACTTTGGATGAAGCAGAAGCAAAGAAGATGTCCAAATTCCTGAATATTTTCAATTTCAGTAATTTCAAGCAGATCTCGAGGTTCTACGCATCCCACTGTCTGCAATATAGAAAGGACACAGTCGATAGTCCTGCGGCTCCTCATGCTTATATAAGATAAACCTGCTAACCTCAATGACTCTAATCTGTCAGACGAGTGGATCACCTTCTTCCACTGCCCTCTCTCACCTTCCCCCTCTCCTCTCCTCCTCTCTTTCTCTCTCTTCCTCTTGCTGTCTGTCTCTCTCCCCTCTTTCTTTTCGCTCTCTCTCATTCACCTTCCTCACTTTCTCTCTCTCTCATTCTCTCTCACCCCCCCATCCCTTGTCTTTCTCTTTTTCGCTATCTCTCTCCTCCTCTCCCTCTCTCCCTCTTGTATGCTCATCTCTGTCTCTCCACATCGTCAAGTTGTTTTCCGGATTTCAGGTCCAATTTGACTCCCGTTCCTGCCGACTTTGCCACATCCACATTCCCAGAGTCACAAAGTTGAATAGCCATGTGATAGTGTCAGATGAAGTTTAGATTTACACAGCTTCATTAATCTTTGGCTCAGAACAACAACAATGAGCTGACAGTTCCCCATCTCCCCCACTGACTTCTCTGTTTGTCCATCTCAACAAGTGTCCGGTTTTCAATGAACTTCCCATAAAAGTCAATGAAAAAGTATTACATTCTACAAAGTGTTACTTTTTACATACAGTTTTTACAGCAACCAGTGCCATTGTCCCCATGAAGCTTATTTCAGCTACAAGTGGGCGATTTGTATAATATAAAATATCTTTAGCATTATTGTTATTTTTTTTTTTTTTTTTATTTTTTTTATTTTTTTATTTTATTTTTTATTTTTTTGGAACCAGATCACTATTTTGGATTTTTAACACTATTAATGTTAGACTTAGTATCTTCATATTTTCTTGAAGAGGTAACTGCTTCTGAAAGTTCACACGATTTACATTAGGTATTTTAAGTTTTTTATGACATTTCATCAATTAAGTGCATTGGTGGTGGGAGCTAACTGAAGTACTCCCTAAGTTGCATGCTGTGTCAAGCTTTACAGGTTTGATTCACGGGTTATTTTACAAGTTAACAGTATCAAAGACGAAGAAGATGATTCATGGGGTGTACGTTACAATTATGGAAAATTAAAGTGTCTGATTAGCAGACACTACGTAGTGTTGATAGAAACTATAATTTGGATGCAGGTTTATTGTCACAACATTGACTGATGTGTCAAATATGTATATAAAGTATATTTTGTATATGTTTATACAAGTTTAGAATGCACTGTATTTGATGGACGAGAGCTGAAAGCTGCTTACCAGTTTTTGCTAATAAATTATTAACTGGACCAGTGTTTTGTTTTGATCTGCTTGTGAATCACATAGTAGCTGAACTGGACAGTTGGGTTTGGTTAATACTTGAAAAGGTCCACACATCTACAAAAAAACATTATTTGGAAAATTTCATGGCAAAAGATTGAAAAAGGAGGAGGAATCCCATAAAGCTTACATCAACCCCTGCTGTGGAAAACCCATCAGACAGTAAATGGGATCTAAAACTGCATGATCCTGAGATATACAGGTAATGGCAAAAAGCCTCCTGGATAATTAACATAAGATGCAGCCTGGAGGTTAGTACAGGCCTATAGTTCTCATAATGTATTTCAGCATTCTGTGTCTTCAACTAAATGAGGCTAAAACCCTAATTTAGAAAACCATTTTGCTTGACAGTAACATAAATTAACAGTGTACAGGAGGCCCCCTTTGTGTTGCAGTTATGTTGACAAAATTTATCTTTAGCAAACCACAAGAACAAGGTTTAAAAGGGATTAAGGAAAAGCCAGCCTTGAAATTATAAGAAGTTTCATCAGCACATTTAAGAGTGTGAGTAAATGAGAGTCCCTTTGAAGAAGCAGAGGGGGATTGGTGATGTGTATACTTAAGCAAAACCTTTATGTATTCTGGGTGTGGAAGTGAAGCCATTTAAGCTCCTGTGATATGATTGTGAGGCTAATTGTTTGCATATGTAAGACAGCTATCACAGGCCACTTATAGGACACGTGTATATCAGATTGGAACATAATATTACAGAGTTTTATTGAAAAGTCCTTTCTGGTGCCTTCCTTAAGACTGCTTTAGTTTAAATTGATGGGGTAGGCGATATACTGAAACTTTGGTTGGTGACTCCTTATGGAAATAAGCACTACATTTCACTGCTTTTTACATGGATTTCCTCAGACATTTTCTGAAATGTTCTTTAAGTGCTGTTTATATTTACATTTTAGTTTTGCAACAACCAAAATAAAATTATGATTATCCCAAATACATTCCAAGAACATAGACTGTGTGTGGCAGGCCCAGAGATCAAAGTCACATCTTGCACCTTGCTACCCTTGGTAATATTCATTGTCCGCTTTCCACATGTTAGTAACTCTAATTGCAGTGCACTTAAGAGAAACTGATGATGTTCATATCACGTCTACTAATTGTAAAAACATAATTCTCATGCTGTTGCTGTGTTTCTCCCTGTGTCCGAGGCTGATCTGCTGTAAAAGAGACATTATTAGAGAGTCTGCACTGAGACCACCAGTGCCCTGCACTGCTGCCTCAGAGGGGGAATCTGCATAACAAACCAACACATTCAAGATACACAAGTGGATGCAAATCCCCTAAACTGAAACAATGCAGCTCTGTCCGGCACGTCGGGGCAGGTTGAGGAGAAGGTTCATGGAGCAGGTTCATGCACAGACCATGGCCATTGTGTCAAATCCAAGGTCCAGGGCTCTTCTAAACTCTTCTAAACTGAACTCATAAATACACAAAGTATCAAGTTTGTAGAACATTTTTCCTGAGGCAATGCCAATTTTCTATTAGAATTGGGTGGTTGGACAAATGTATGTATCATATACATAGGATATAAGCAAAATATGCATGATATCTTCATCGCCACAGGCCAGAAGCATTTTGTCCCTCACTGTCACTCTTGGGCACACTCAGATAGAGGCTTGAGTATATGTTAGAGGCTTAATGAACAATAAAATGTACCACACACTTGTTTTGTCTATTTTATTGGTGAAAACATCTTAAAACATTTTGACCCATTTGACACATATAACATGACAAAATGTATCGAGAACATTTCCTTTGAAGCAAAATCACAGATTCAAAAACTGCAACATTTGCAGTGTCATATACATTTATAAAAATAACAAGAACAATCATAAAAATAGACAAGACAAAACACTTTTTCTCTAAATGTTGATTGCAAAAGACTGCATACAGAAATAGATTTTTTCAGACAATGCAATACAATGAAGTGACCCACAATCTCTATTTTATTTAGGCACAATCACTAAAGGACAGACAGACTGGAGCTAGATAACTAGGCAGCTGTAAGAACCTCACTTAGAGTAATGCACTATACATGCCCTGTGGAGTCCTAAGTAGAAATAATCAGCTGAGATTTGAGACACATGTCTGAAAGAAGTACTTGGTGGCAATGAACTGTTGCTGGTCTTTTTTGCTGTCCGTAAACACTGCATTGTTATGAGATTTGGCAAAGCTGAAGCATGTCATATATACAGTTTTATAGGTGTGAATTAAGTATAAACAAAACAACAGACATAAGTGGAGCAACCCTATAAAAACACATCATAGGTTGAAGTGTTATGTCAGATGCAATCTGCTTTCTCTTAAAAGTGCAGCAGCTGTACAGTAATCATCAAGCCTCAGATCAACCCCAGCACCAGCTGCACCCATCTGTCCAGACTCACTCTTCTCCTACAACTCCGAACATGCTTTGAATATGGATCTTCGTACAGATTTCATCCAACCAACAAATGATCAGCACCACTAATGATACTCTAATGATCTTTGCACCCCAGAAGGCTTGTGTGTAAACCCTGAATGCATCGTCTGCAGAGCTGCCCCTATAAGTTCAAGCTCTTGAGCAGAGGCTGAGGAATTCCCTGCCCGGGTGCTACAGCAAACAGTGTGTCATCATCCGAGGTGTCGGCAAATATCTTTCCTAGAGGAAGTCTAGGAGCACATACCAACCAATGGCCCTTTCTGCCCTTTTCTGTGAATTCTCCCTTAAATATTATATAGAAGCACCACCGTAGACTATATAGGAAACTGTAAGTTGCTGATGATCTTATACATTTGTAAACCTTAGTTACTCTCAAGAATCAAGCTCACGCTTAAAGTGTGTTTGGTTTTATGTGCGCACTTTGCACCAGTCCTCCCATATTAACATGAAAAATGTGAATCTTGCTCCAACATGTCTCATAATTTCAGCAGAGTTCTACTTGCTGAAAAATGCAGCTATTTTTCATCCAAATTTACACTGCAGTGACTGCGCAGGAGTTAATTACATTCATGACCCTTTGTCTAGAGGCTACTGCCTTGTGTCTCCTATGAACTAAAAAAGCGCTTATGGCCACAAATGATTATTGGCCAGCTCACTCTTTCTGCCCCAACAGGCTTTAGGCACTTATCAAAATGTATGTTCATGTATACAAATAGACAGCTTCATATTTAGTTAACGTTGCCCACCAAAACTGGGTTTTATTATCATAAGAAACAATCAAATAATCTTTGGTTTGTAAACAACCATACTCAAAGCTATTTTTGAGGTGAGATGTGTGTTTGATATTCAAACTGTAAGTGCCATCTCACCACAGTTCGTCTGTCAGGTGTTTGCTGTAGGATGTTGAACACATTCACGCCACAGCAGCAACAGCCTTATCATATTACTAATAAAACAACATGCCCACCAACAACGTGTTGTTACTTCATTGTTGGGCACCATTCATTTCTAAATGTAGTCTTTCTATATGTGAGATATTCACTTTAACTAAAGACCCAGAGGATTTTATTTGCTAGCCATATAAACTTATGTAGGAAAGCAGAGCTTTGATGCAAAACATTATCCTCCCATAAGTCTCCTTTATAAGGCTCTCAGCTGTTTGGCAGAGCTGACTGTTTAAATAAGTGGGTCCCTCCCTCTTATGCCAGACTCAGTTACAGGGCAGCCAGGTGGAGTACGCAGGCTGCTGGCAGGCAAACACTGGCTGAACCTGTGCAATATAGTAGTTACTGAAGTTGCCGTCTGCTACATAAGGAGCAGGTTGGTAGTAGCAGGTGACATTGGCTACGTTAGGAATGACATTCTGCTCTGCCAGAACACGTACTGCTAACATGGCTATAAGTCCTAAAGTCTGTCGCCTCTCGTGTCCCATCAGGCACACCGTACTTTCATTGACCACTCCATGGAGGGTCATTAGGTAGTCATACTTTCGGTCCTCAAGGCCCACAAAGTGGTTTTGAAGGTAAGACTCCAGTTTGCGCTGCTGCTCACCAATGTCAGGGAAGTCAATGAAAAATCGTGAGCACATGTACCGCTGGAGGGACTTCATCTCAGTCTCAGAAGCTGCCCTGAAACCCCTCACCAGCAGGTGGCAGTACTTGAGCAAACCCCCGCCCCGGATCTCCTCTGGGTTTCGGGTGCAGATGATCTTGTGCTGTAGGTGGTCCAGAGCCTCGCCAAAGTCCCCGTAGACACTCTCTCCCATGATGGTGGGGTGGAAGGTTTCAGCCATGGGGTTCTCAGAGCATTCATAAAACAGCAGCAGTGAGTCCAGTTTGATTTGAAAAGAGTCCACACTGAACTCAAACTGCCGCCTCAGAGAGTCCACAAATTTCAGCTCCACATTCTTCCCTCGGTTGTTTGACAGAGAGATGAGGCTCCAGCGGTCCGAGTCAGTGCACACCTTCACCATCTTCTGCACATAGGCTTCCTGTGTGAACAAGCAAGTGGGAGACAACAAATAAATGTGTGACTCTGAAAATACAAGTGTCATCTAGACTATTATTAGGCTACTAAATGTAAAAAATGTTCTAACTATGAAAAGTTTTAATCACCAATATAGGGCCGTTTCCAGTGAATGAGCCTGGAGTTATTAATGCTACTGACCCAAATATAAGCCTCTAGTTGGACGTAGGACATAGGTGCCTGAGCTCTGGATCCCTTCTTAATTGGTTTAGTCTAATCTTCTTAACCGCAGAAAAACAACATTTTACTATCATTGAACTAATCTAATTGTCCATTAGGCTGTGCGTAATGGTCTTTAAGCCCAGTTGAAATAAAGGCAAAGCATGACATGTATAAAAGTAAACATTAAATACCTTTAACATTAAATACCTTTAATGTTAGAGGCGTTATTTTCTCTTTATTCACACAGTCGGGTAAAAAGTCCAGGAGACAGTCAAGCACTATGTTCTTCACAGTCTGGAAATCACTTTCTCCTTTGATATGAGCGCAGAAAATGAGATCCAGGTCCTTGTACCCCAGTCCGCTGTCCTCGTGCAGAACGTGGCTGGCTGCAGAGCCGTTCAAACGCACCTCTCGGACGTGAATGTGTTTCTCCTCCATACGGCTCCGCACCACTTTCACTATTTGCCGCGGCTGCATCTCCAAAGTGGGGAAATTGCCCCTGCCGTGGATCGGTATGGTCTCAGTTAGAATGGAGTCCAGGCGCTGTACTTGTTCCCAGCTAAGCACGCTTACATTTGTGTTTTCAGAGTCACTCACTGAACTGACAACAGAGCTCTCGTCTTCTGACATTGTGTTGAAGGATGAAAAATAACAAATTGAAGCAAAAATACTCTGACTTTTACGCGGTGATGAGTAATAAGTAATGTGCAGAATTATCCATCTGGTGTTATTCAGTTAAGTTGTTCAAACGTTAAATCGTAAATAGTGCGTAAATATGAACTTTCTCTTCCCCTCAGTGCGTGTGTCTTCTCTATGGACTACAGTACGTCTGTCACTGTGTCCGTGCGCAGCGCAATTCAGTCTTTGAAGGTTGCTGATGAACCAGGAGGAGGGTTCGCTTTTCCGCCCGTGACTCCATCGCCCGAGGGCACGCCTAGGATTTGATGAATTTGCATGAATAAACTTCTCTCCAGCTTGAGTTTGACGTGCACACTCCCCTCGTCTTCACGGCCGAATCAGACCTCCACTTTGTCTCTCAGGAATCTTGCTGCCTATTTTCCACACATCTCCTCTATATCCGACCCTATTTCCCGGGTAATATATTCACGTTGAAACTGTCCCACTTGTTGGATAGTTAACCGCTACCTGCTGCGCAGTCTTAACCAGCTCTGAGCCAAGTCCGCGCACTGACGAGCAGAGCCGTCTCACCACGCCCACTCTGTGACTGACAGCTCGCCCTCATGTGGATCATGAGTGACGCTTATAAAGATCTTGGGATTTGTTTATGAGAAGCTTTCTTCACAATCAAATTAAGAGAATTTCAATTATAGTTTGTTGCATGACTAAGCCACGTTTTGCCAAATAGCATTCGCGCGGGATTGCAACATTTATTTCCAAATAAAAATCGAATCAGCCTTTACTGGATTGTGCGGGAAGTGTAAATTACATCCATAGAATTCACAAACCCCTGGCGCCCTCTGTAGGCTAATTTTAACAAAAGCATGAATACGGCATGGTGCACTGGCGTCTACATAAACTACATGATCAAATACTTCTTACGTGATTAAGAAAATGTTTATATTTGCCTTTTAAATCAGACGACAAACAATTCCCTAATAATCGAATAAGCCTGTTATATCCAGACGCCTAATATGTTAATATGTTTGACTCAGGATGTCTTAGCTTAAGTCTCTCAACTACAGTTTGTGTAACCTTTGAACCCACGACCAAAATAATGTTTCCATGTAAAACTTTCAGTTTTATTAGATCATGTTTGTATGAATACCAATGCATACAAGACAGAAGGCTTGTAATAGTACAAATATGTATAATGTCAGCAGTGTCCTGCACACGTAAGGTCAGAGACACAATGTCAATGAATCCATTAGGCAATGCAAAGCCCTGCGTCACTGAAGCTGCCCGGTCTGTAAAACCTCATGATCCCATTTACTTTATGGCGCTGGCTTAAGTCTCGTTCAGGCTGCATAGCTACCGGCCACGCTCCTCTCAGGGTACTACTCACTGTCGGCTGGGAGATATATGAGACAAGAGTAGTTTTTAATTGTGTTTGGTTTTCACGCTTTGCTTTGGAATGACACAGACAGGTCGTGAAATCCAATGCCACATCTGGAAATGTACACCGACGCAGAGTGAAGCTATGAGGAGATCAGTGAATGCGCTTCACAGATTGACTTAGTATTAGAGATACACTTGACCTTGAAGCTTGCATAATGCATAATAGGAATTAAATATACAGTATTTACTTTAGACTCAGGTAGCCTATATCTAGCACATAGTATTTCTTTGTGCCAGTCACACATCCAAATAAAGTTGTGGCACTGGGTTCTTAAGGGCAACTGATGTGAAACCTGTAATCCATATCATATGTAAGCCTAACAGAACAATATTGTAAGAGTTACTGTGTGCGGTTCTATACAACCATTTAAATTAACAAATAAAATAAAAAAAAATGTCTCCACAGTAATATGCAATGTTATGCTTGAATTCAGTATCGCAACACAAATCACCATAAAAAATAAGAAACCATGAAAATGTACCTGTCTACACCTGCTTTTGTATTTGCTTTACCTTACAAATGTATCCTCCAGGCTTTAAAAATATTCATGTGTCTCTGAAACATTTTCTGAATGGAGCAAGCTAACAAAACATACAAGGAATGTTTTGTTTTTTTTTCTTCTTCATAACCATAACTGTGGGAGTTATATTTATATTTGTCAAAGATGTTTTCGCTGTCTGTCTGCTTTCTCTTCAATCACTGCATTGCTTTTTTACATATTTGGGAATAAATACTCCCACACAATTGTTAAAAACAAATTTAACTTTATTTTACGTCTGGACAAATCCCTGTCTTCTACTCAAGGACTCATCTGTTTTTCAGATTGCTTTTGTTTGTTGTTACTTCAGAGTTTCATTAATGCCAAACACAGGAGACACAACAGTCCAACAGTTCAATACAAATGTAGTTTTTCTAAGATGTTTTAGGATGTAAGACACATTAGATTTAAGATTAAGGTCAAATATGTGTTTGTAAAAGATTTAGCCAGGAGCCAAATCACTGTATGCACAGTTTATTAATTGAATCATTTTGTAATTATAAATATAAAACATTACATCAAATGGGTCTTGTTTGAACCACCAATGTTTGAAGTTGTCTCAGCAGACATATGCAAAGAACTATGTATATTTATAGCAGCAGCAGTTTTGTTGCATGGTAGCTGAGTAGCTAGCACTTCCACTTCACAGCAAGAAGGTTCTGGGTTCAACGCTCAGACAGTCTGTTCTAATGCTGTGGGTTTCCTCCGGTGACTCCGGTTTCCCTATCAACCTAAAATATGCACAACAGAAAAAAAAAAAAAATCCAGTTTAAGTAGTTCTGATCCTGAACAACCTTGGCAACAAATCTGCATGGCGGTTGCCCACTGCAACGGTTGCAGGTTGCCCTAGCAGCCAGGGACAATAAACTCAATCTTATCCAGACATTAAAATTACATTTATAGAGTACATTTTTTAATGTCATTTGGTAATCAACTTGCCTGTCTCAGATTATACAACACTGATGTCCAGTGCTCTTTGTGTTGTTGTTCATTCTCTCACACTTAGTGTTAAATAATGGGCGATATTCTAGTCACTGGGGCCAAAGAAGGTTAATAGATAAACAAACACCAGTTCATTATTGGCCTGTGGCTGTTCGACTACAAATGCTCCTATATTAAAATATGATTCTGACCATCCACATCTGTGTAGCTTAAAAAAAAACAAAAAACACACACACTGGCATGTAAACTATGTCATGACAGCCAACTACTGCCTTATTCGTCCTCGCACATTTCTACAGCACTTTTCATCATCTGTGAAATCGTAGCTTTCACAGCAGTAACTGTATTTCCAATAGGCTCACATTAGTTTTCCCTGTCTGTCGAAAGAGAGATACTCCCTGTGCTGACGGAATAGTTAGTTTTGGGGGAGGTTCAAAGGCACATGGAGGGGACACAAATGAGATTCCCAGGCTTATATAGACAAAAAGTGCTCTTGACACTCGTCCCTGAAACCTGGAGAATTGCTTGGCTGTCAAGGTTAACTTAGGTCTTTGAAGAACCCTCACATACGGACAATTCCTTTATGTCTAGTCTCTTTAAAGGTTATGTATGTCTATGTCTCTTTAAAGGTGCGCTATATGTAACATTTCTGGTGAAGGGTCTGCTATCTGCTTGGCTATATGTGGTTGCTGTTTCTGTGGAGATGCCACCAGATCAAGTTACAAGTTCGATCTATGGAGATGAGACTCATAGAAGGATGTTTGAGCAATACAAACATCTGAAATTGTTGAAATACATTTACTTTTTCCATAAGTCTATATACACTGTTATGACGCATAAAACACTGTGGCCTAGTGTTCAAAGTAGTTACAGAAATTTGAAATTATGTCCTGACAAAGACTATCTTGCTAGTCGAAACATGTTGGCGTCCCTTCATGCAATAAAGGACTTTTAATATATTCAGTCGGAGTGCCTTGGGTTTGTACCTTGCGTACTTTTACAATTTTCAGTAAGGGTAATTTTCTGTTTAAGTTTTGTTTTTGTAGGTAGGTGTTTTGATTAGATAAGGGCTTGTGTTTTCAAATGCAATGTTATATATTTGCCTTGATAAATCTGGAGTCTCGGACATACCGGTCCATGTCACCAAATTTATAGGCTCCCATTGAAGACTAAATTCACTTACGGCCATTGGACTTAAAAACCTCCATCTCACCTCTAACATATTATAGTGTGGTTTTATAGCCTGCTGATACAATGGCTAGTGAAGGAAAGCTCCTGCGAAAGTGCTTGAGGGCCAGAAGAAGCTCCAGAGCTGCAGAGCTGTCTCTGTCTTTATGACAGCATCTCTTCACCTGGACATCATCTGAAATCTTCCCCCAAGGCGTGCTGAGAAACTGCCACACCCTACATCAGAATGCCTTTAAGTGAGTCCCGCTAATCTCCAATTCCCTGTAACTGTTTCTGATTGCACCCTGTGTCTTTAATGGGTGTGTTCATTTTCAGTAAGGACATGTCAGAGCAGTGAGCCGTGAGATGCAGATACTTATCTTTATTGCTAAATGTTGCAGCGGTTGGCTGATGGCTACAAATAAAGTAAGATACTTAACTAAGCTGAATGCATTTTAGAAAGATGAGAGAAAGCACATTTCATTGGGGTAATAATATGATATGTATATATATTTTTTTTTATATTGGTCTCTTTTTCAGATGCTCAAAGTTACTTACTAAAAGAAACAAGGATGGCAGCCTGACCACCACCATTCACTCTCTCACATATCAACACATACACTGGTAATGGGTAAGATGTCTTGCTCAATGACACAATTACAGAATGAAAATTCTTTCCATGTTGCTCAAATTGTATACAGCTTCTATATGTGTATTTATAGTGATAATGTACGAATATACATTAGAGGTTCACTGTGATACATTTCTAATGTCTTGAATTGAATGTTCCACAGTGGGGCATAAATACTGAATTCTTGTTAGTATGTATTTTTGCCAGCCGGTTGGTCACATGCTAGTATCCAGGTATCCCTATTCTGGCTCCATCTCTCAGAGTGGCAGACACAGTGAGCTGATTCACTAATTTGGCAGAGTTTAACTGCAAAGCTCTGCTGTATGTCACAGGTCTACGCTGGTCCCGCCAAGACACACGTGATTCTTAGTGTGGCTTAAAGATACGTCATCAGGGTGAAGAGGAGAGAGGAAGTCACGTTCACACTCACTCACTCAGAGTAAAACAGTTAGTGAAGCCAGAGGGCAGATAATCCACAGATGAATGTCCACTAAATAGGATTGGAAGGGCTAGTGGAACCTCACCCCTTTACGACTCAGGCTATTAAGAGAAACTAAGAAGCCGGAAGGGTTTGAGCCACAGGGCAGAAGTCACACAGTATGATCAACTAATAGTAACGGTTAAGTCATTAAGGAGGATCATTAAAGTAGTCTTTTTGATGGAATTGGTGCTGTGACCAAAGGCGGGCACAGTATTTTATCAAAGAAGACAGATCATCAGATTCACTTGTGGTTTGATATCATCCTGGTTTGCAGTTCTGGCCCATATCTTCAGGAGGCATTTATAAGATTGGACCTTATTTTTACAAAGATAAGTGATAAAATGAGATTAGTGTTGAAAGATCATAAAGATGTAGCCACTAT